CACATCAAATCATGCAGATCCTTGTTTGGATATGCCTTCTGGAAATTGCTTTAAGGTGCCTAACACAGTAACCGATGGTAGGCATAAGGTTTTTGCCATAGATGCATGTTCTCCATAAAACTTAAGATACCACCGTGCCGATCAGATATTAGACAAATACCGAACGCTGTTTGACAGCGTGCTCTTTCAAGTGGTTCAAAAACAGCGTCCACGTCTCTTGGCTTTCATTGGCACAAATAGCAAAAGCTAGAGGAAATATTTGTCCATTAGCATCTACTGCCACGACTATCAACAACTTTATATCGTGCTTTCTATAGACATGAGTGTCGTCTATGAGTATTACGAGCCGACAATGCGAAAAACCATCAATTGCTAGTTTAAACGCCCAAAATACGTAATTGAATATATATATATTCTGGTTTACCTGGAATCCGCTCAAGCTTCCATTCAACAACCGTCCCGGGGTTAAACTGCTGCAGTGCAGCCATGTACCTAGGCTGATCTGCAAATGACTTATCCCAGTTACCATAGACTATTTCAAACGCTCGTTTGCACCCGAGATATGCCTTTCTTTTAGTAATGGTATGGCCATGTTCCCGGTGGACCGCTGTAATGCACTCTTCGATTTTATACCTTATGGACACTGCGATGTGTGGAATAAGAACAAGAGAAATCAAGTCAATATCTAAGTTGAAGTGATTCCCGTTGAATGTGTCCATTTTGCATGTGTGGGTGGGAATGTATTTACCTACTTTCCACATACCTGTCTTCTTCTTGCTCGCACACAACATCCAATGACATGACCAAAACCACATGCGACAAACAACCTTGTATACAACCGGACTTGACTCCCATACCGTCATCTCACGACACTCTTTTACGTTGTGCATTTTACAAGCCCTGCTTAGGCTCGCTTTATCAGGAAAAAGCATGCCCTTTGCCAGCACCGTTGGTCTAGACTCATCCCACATTGCTGTCCGAATTTCATCAAAATCCCTTGTGAAAGCTTCCACATCCGGCATGCTTGGCAAGTTATCAAGGTAAGGAATCTCCCTTGAATGAAACGACACTTGGGACTCGTACACTCTTCGTCTGGGGGGGGGGGGGGTGGAGCATACTCTCTCGTCAAATCAGGTCGTTCCTTCTCATCCTCCTCATCACCATCCTCACGAGGAAAGGGTGTCTCGTCTCCAGATTCATCAGCATTGTTGTCGTAATCACTGTTCTCTTCCTCACTCTGTGCATCTGCCAGATCCCAATTTAATACGTCGTCTTCGGGCAATTGAGTGAGTACATTTGGTTCAACATGCTCGTTTTCATTGCACAATCAACAAAATAATAAGATGCTGAATTTAATAAATACTTTCCATATAGCCGTATCACTTCACTTACAAGTGGTAATGTGATGAAATTCTATGATGGACATTTTCATTTAGGTGATGGCTCCCGGATGGACCACCATGATCCAACACACCAAAACTATGCTTGAGTTCATAATTTGTAAAATTCATATCCGGCATGTACTCCCTGTTAAATATATGAGCGTTAATACAAATTTAATACAATAAAAATGTACATCGTAACACAAAGGAAAATTGAAGCTTACCACTCGTCTTGTGAATTATGTAAAGCAGGCGGGGATAAGTTTAAATCAAGGAAAACTCTTTCATCTGGAACCTGTCCGGCAAAAACTCCTCCAGAATAGCCACCCGATGACTGGGGGTTATCCGGAACCTGTCCGGCAACCTCATTGTTTTGAACGTCTTCGACCTTGACGTACATATCCAACATATTTATTACAAGATATTCCCGGTATTCATCCGGAGTCCTCAGAAAATCCCTCAAAGTTTCATCATCGTAGATGTTTAACTCCGAGTAAAAAGAAGCCCCTTGCGGAGTGACGTAATACGGATATCTTTCGGTTACTTTAAGTATCACTGAACGTTTCCTCACACCCATTTTTTGTATAACAACGATATCAATTTATCGTACTCTATTGTAAGTGGTAATTTAACATGACCCTGTGGAGATAAACTATACCTCATAGAGTTATTCTCCATTACAACCTCATCTTACCCCCCCCCCCCCTCCCCAATATAATGAAACTCTTATTCTACGCTCTTCAGACATTACGAAAAAAATGCTTCAGAATTTAACAACAAGAAAAAATTGAACAGGAGTTAGAATTTTTTGTGAACGAATTTTCCTAAAATCCTAACCACTTTATATAGGAAATGGCTAGCCCGGGATATGAAATCTTTTTGATGTATAGCGTTCTTTAAATATACGCTATACACATTTAAATTACTGTTATGTCAGTTCACTTATTGGTGGGTCCATATTCAGGGTATATCATTTTTTTGGGGCGCTATATGTATAGCGTATGAATACAAGACGCTATACCTTAACGGCAAACGTTACCGTTAAGGTATAACATCTTGTATTTGCATGCTATATATAGAATTGTATTTTTTTTTTAAACACCTATTAAGGTAATTTGAGTCCGAAAAAATAATGTTTAGGTTCTGGACTCCTAATTTTGCAGGAAACCTGTTACTCCATTGTAGTTCTTTATTTCTTTTCAAAGTTTTAGCTTAAATACTTTCAACTTTACATAATTCATAATCTTCAAATTTGATTTTTGTATACGTATACTTGAGTTTCGATTACAATTTGACCCACAAATTATACTATTTTGATCTGTTTTGACCAAATAGTTTAATAAGTAATTTCAAATTCATTCCGTTAGATCAAGTCACAATCCGTCTAAACATGGCCATATAGTGGCCTTCAGGCCACCTAATTTCGTATCAGTTTTTCAATTCGGTAAATAAATTTATAATTTTTTTATTTAAATACTTGCAATTGACGAAATGATTATCATTAAACACTTTTGACTATTGACCAAGCCTATTTGTTAACAATATATGTGACGTGGCAGTAGTGCATGCATATCAATAATTAAAAATGAAAAGAAAGATAAAAAAATAGTAACAAATAATAAAAAATTCACAAATATCCACCCGACACCCTATCTCCCCATCCCCTTTCCCTTTCTTTTCTTTTCTTCCCCCCCGGCATCACGTGTCCTTCTGTTTCACAATATCTCCTAGACCTACCAACATATGTCTCCTTCCCCATTAAAGCTGTTGAAAAATGCCCAAAAATACATCATCCTTAGGAATCAAAAGAGACAACAATTTTTTCTTCAGTAAAAGCTTCACTGCAAAAAATTATAATGAATATCATCGTTAATTTTTTTATTGTTTGAGGGATTGTCCAAAAAAAAAAAAAAAAAAAATCGGCCTTTTAATGGTGATTCATTGAGGCAATGGCTAATTTTACTGATTTAGGAGGTCTTTTGAGAGGACATTTAAGATGAAGAGAATGGAAACAAAAATTAATGATGGTTGAGTATTGTATATGGTGGAATGGTGGTGGATTGGCAGGAGCTTTGAATACGAAGAAGAAGAAGACAAAAAATTGATTTTTTTTAAAGAGGAGGAGAATAAAAATCTAGTAAAATAATTTTGTTTTAAGTAGGACCCAAATATTACACATGTCTAAGAATAAAAGGCTTAGTATATGACGTGTTAGTCATGTCACAGCGAGTGAACAACACGTTCAACCGGATGTGTTTATTACTAGTATTAAGTTCATCAAGTAGAGGTGTCCAAATGAAAAAAAATAAAAGTTTATATACCGAAATGACAAGCTGGTTCAAGTTTAATTGGCTACGAGATCGTTTCGCCATCACAATATAAAGATGGAGTTCTATACCACTTTTGTGAAAATATTGATTTCAGCATGCAAAAGATAGTTATATTTTCATTAGGGTATATTAAAACGTGATAAACTTACAAAGTTTAAACTCTAAAATTGCTGTAAAATAGTTATTTTGATTTTCCTATATAGAGGGAATCCAATTTTTATTTTTATTTTTTTCGTTCAAAAAGGAAAACTTAATATAACTAGGAAATTAATAGTAGCCTTTAGTTTGATCAAAAAAATGCTTTCATAAAAAACAAAAGAGCACCTTTTAAAGTGATTTCTATTTTAAAGCTTAAATTACCTTTAAAGTGTATATATGATTGGTGAAATTCTTTAGAGATCCCTAAGGACATTAAAAACGTTAAGAGTTTAGGAAATAGAGCAAGATCATTAATTCACTTGCTTTTGTAACATTCACTTTCCTTATTTAATTTTTTTTTTAACGAAACTGATTTTTAAGAATAATGATTCTAAATATTCTAAATTTGGCAACACAACTCTCCCACAAAAAAGGAGATGTTCCACCAGAATTAACAACAAAATGCTACTCCCTCCGTTCCAGTTTATGTGAACCTATTTTCTTTTTGGTCCGTTCCAAAAAGAATGAACATATTTCCTTTTTGGTCCGTTCCAAAAAGAATGAACCCTTTCTAAATTTGAAAACAATTTAGTATAAACTTACTAACTCTACCATTAATGAGAAATTTTTATAACCACACAAAAACTCTAGGCCCCTTTTTAACTTGTTTAGGACCACACATTCCAAAAATCTTATTTTTTCTTAAACTTCGTGCCTAGTCAAACAGGTTCACATAAATTGGAACGGAGGGAGTAGTAATGGTGTCCAAATCAATTTGTACACACTTCCATTAATTCATCGAGACACATTCTCGTTCAGTTACTTGTATATGTGTAAGGATACCATGTCTAAGAGCAAATTTCTAAAAAGTAGTAGCACGAGATAAAATTTTATGAAAGGACGATAAGAATCGATAATTATTATTAAATACTTTAATTATGTTTTTAAGTTTTCAGCCTAGCAATTGTCTCTCTATTCTTTCCCCAGAGCACAAATACAAAGTCCTAAAAAGAGAGAATATTAAAATTAACGAAATCATGACATTGACCCTAAATACCAGTAGTATTCCAGTTTCAAATTTATGTCAAGCCTCCAATCAGCCTTATTTATAATGCTTCCATTCACACGGCCAAGTCAAGGCAAGACAATGCAACAAGAAAATATCAGCATGAATTCATAAACTTCAAAATGCACTTTATTGAAACTTAAATTAACAAGATCACAGCTGACATTCAAATGGAATGGGAGCCTTGGAACAACACTAAAGTTGTCTGCAACAGGTGTATCCTCTGTGAAGAAGGCTAGGAAGATGCAAGGCAACTTATTCACACATTGCAAGTTTACAGCTCAGATTTGGTACATGTTTTTGAATTTATTTGATCTAAAATGGTGCATGTCGAAAACTCCGAAAGAACTGCTGCTGAGATGGATAAGGGTAGTCCGACTTCAAATAGTTGACAAGACAATTTGGAAAACTGTACCAGCAATTGTTTAGTGGATGGTCTGGAAATAAAGGAAACAAAAGATACTTTGAAGGCAAAAAAGAGAATATTTATAATTTAAAATATAGATGTATAACTCTTTTAGTTTTTTTTGTGCAAGAACAAAATATGTACAGGAAGCTGAGAGGATGATAGATTTTCTAAGTTCATCTCACGTGCAACAAAACTGAATTTTATATTTTGTCCTGCACATCCTAGCACCCCTTGGGTGCTACAAATAATAAAATTCTTGTATAAGGACACTTGGTGGACTGCCACGTTAAATTATTCTTAACATGTTTCGAAGTATTTAAGCTTACCTTGTTATCAGTTGCATCGCTTTCAGAACTTCAGTTTTTGGTGTGAGTGTGACTGCGATAGGGGTAGGGGTAAGGCTGCGTACATCCTACCCTCCCCAGACTCCACTTGGTGGGATTATACTGGGTAGTTGTTTGTTTGTTTGTGACTGCGATAAGCTTGTTCTGCAAACCCACACATAAACAAAATTTGATATCATGTAATAATATGTCTCGCAATCTAACTACAGATCTAGCTTCTAGAATAGCTTTTGACAGGAAACACATTTCGGTGCTGCAAACTTCTTTTATGACAAGAAGAGCCTTGAAATTTACCTTTTCTGTCATAATGTCCCCAACTTTTGTTGCATGGATGATCTTCCCTGTGATATGGTTTTCTAGGGATCTTCTGGTTCAAGAGAGTTAATGAGAGAGAGGAGGCAAATTGGCAAAAAGAAGGAGAACCAAAGTACGAAGACCAGCTATTTGTGTTGGCATCTAGTAAATCATCTTGCAAATACTAGACAGTAGAAATGGAGATTCAAAACTTTTAGGCCTGGCAAATTGCTTGTATTGTCAGATGAAAATTCAAAAGCTATTTTGTTTACTTTCAGTGTACTTTAGTTGTTATTATTTCCAACATCAACTACAGAGTCTCCAAAAATGTTCAATGCTGGAACTAGAGGAACTCCATTGCACACAGAAAATACCATAACAAGAACAAGAATACCTAAGAAACATTTCAAGAATTCCACTTTTCTCTATTTTCCTTCACTTTTTTTCTTATCTTTGTGGGATGGAAGAATTTAAGGAGAATTGGAGTGAATTAAAGGTCAAAGTGAAATAACAGCAGGATAGAAAGTTGCACACTTTAAGGACATGTATGTTTGGCACCACACCTAAAGCTAGTGTTGGAATGTTGACATTATTAGGCGAATTATACAATACAACTGCTAAAAAGCTTGTTTCATTTTTGTCCTTATTACAATTCTGTTTAGGGGTATGATGAATTATTTTATTAGGCTAGCTTAAGATACTTTTCAGAAAACTCAAAGCAAAATTCGCGTGACAGAAAATTTTTCCAAGCAAAAGAACTTTTCAGAGAAAAAAAAAGGGTCTTTGATGGCTAAATTTTGCGAGTTAAAACTTCAATCATATCATTGTTAGCCTACTTGAATTAAGATTATGTAAAAGAAATTAACTTTGACAAATACAATGGTTGCAATAAATGCTAGAGAAGCTCTAGCCTACTTGCAAGTATTGATGGTTCCCAATATTTGTCAATGGCATTCATTGTTCTGTGAAAATGTCAATCCCAATAAAACATCCTACTCTGGGATCACATATAACCTCCAAATATATATACCTAAATAATTCGAATACGGTGTTGATTGTTCACCTATAATATACCCTATCGATTAAACTTTCTAATTCAATTTCAGGAAAATCACAAATATTCATATTATATGATTCAGGGACAGAAGGATGGGGTTGATCTAGTCAGTTCTTGTGTTCCAATTAAGGATGATGTAACCAAGAATTTAGAAATATTGAAAAGATTGTCCCAATAGCAACTTATAAGTCACAGGCAGTTGTGATAGCTTCTCAAAAGATAACTAAATAGCATGGGAAATGTTATCCCTAGACTTATAATGTGTACACATAAAAGAAATCATATTATTTATCATATTAAGACCACAGTAAGATCTGATTTCCAAGATAAAGAAGAGTGGAAAAACAATCAAAATATCAAAAGTGATGTACCTCCGTAATAAGCCTGCCTGGAAAGCTGGATATTGAACTGGATGCCATTTCTTTCGCAGACATAAACGGAAATTGTATCATGATAGTGAATAAACCAAGGGAAAGAAATATTCACTTCTTATTTTCCGAGTGAAAATGTGGTATCATGTCAAGGACGGAAGGGTTCTTCCTTATAACGTTTATCAGTAACTCAGTTGTAGTTGCATCAAATGAGAAGCCCTTTCCAGCCATTTCCTTCATAAAAGTTGACATTTCACTAATTTTGCTATACCTGAGAAATCCTTGCACAATAACATTATAAGTGACCTCATTTGGCAAACAACCGTTGTCCCCCATTTTTCTTAGCATAGCTTTAGCTTCATCTAACAACCCTTCCAGACAAAATCCAGTTATCATTGTATTGTATGTTCTTGAATTAGGAAGCAATCCCATTATAGAAAGCTTCTCAAAAATAGTATGAGCTTTGTCGAGTTCTCCATTTTTGCACAACCCATTAATGACAGCATTGTAAAATCCAATATCTGTACTTAGTCTCTTTATTTCCAACTTATTAAAGTAAGACATAGCTTCTTCAACAAGTCCATACTTAAAATAACCATTGAGCAAAGTGGTATGAGTGCATAAATCAGGTATGGGCCCCGTAGATAACATCTCCGCGAATACCTGTTTTGCAGAGCCAATTCTTCCAACTTCAAACAAACCTTGCAAGATAGTATTGTAGGTAACCATATTAGGTTTTGGTCTCTTTTGAGAAATTTCACAAAACATTTGCATAGCCTCGGCCAAGTTCTTTTTCTTACAATATCCATTTATTAGTACGTTATAGCAAATATTGTCAGGCTCAATGCTCTTATCTATCATGAAATCAAAAATGCTCCTCGCTCTATCCATTTGACCACGCAAACAATATCCATCCATTATCACATTGTAAGTGAATATATTAGGCTCAACACCTTTTTCGTTCGTATGTCTCATTACTTCCTCGGCATCTTCAACTTTCCCTTCTTTGCATAGTCCATCAATCACCATGGTGAAGGTGTGCACATCTGGATAAATATTAAAATTTCGCATCTCAGAGAACAAAGTCATAACCTTTTCCCACTGACCAAGCTTACACAAACCATCAATTAATGAATTATATGTGACTATGTCTGGAGGAATGACTTTCTGCTTCATCTCGTTCAAAAGGTTGATAGCAGCATCTAAGTTTCTATCTTTGCAAAGCGCATCTATAACAATGTTGTAGTTATTTATGTTTGGCTTAGTTTTCCCTACTTCCATTAACCGAAGCAAACTTAAAGTTTTTTGAGTATGGCCCCTTTTGCTGAGCCCATTCATGATTGTTCCATACATGACTTCATTAGGCTCACAAATCTTCTCTTTCGCCAACTTTTTGAACAAGTTAACTGCATCTTTGACCTTATTTTCAGCGAAGAATCCCCTTATTAGGGTGTTAAAGGTGACAACATTAAATGGAATGCCACTCTTCAAGTAAATGGGTAACACCGAAAATCCACAATCAACACGACGCATCAGGCAATAACTATTAATGACGATACTCAAGATGAACCCATCAATCTGGATATACGATTTCTGCATTTCTCCAAAAAGAGAAACTACAGCAGAGTAATGCTTCATATTTAGCATAGTCTTATATAATTTAGAGAACTCGACAAGAGACGGAAGAGGCTTCATTCTGACCATTTGATGGAAGAGAGTTAGAGCATCATCTAAACACTTTACATTCTCAAAGTTGCTATTTACCCCAAATTTACCCTTTACTGAAATGGATGTATTACTATGGCCTCTGATTGTAATTGCCGAACAAGAAGGATAAATATCAAAGAAAGTGATAAAGGGAATACCATTGCGAGGGCGATGCAGAGAAATTCTCCTCATCTTCAATGGTAGAGAATGACAAGTTTCTCGGTCTTTGTTGAATTGCTGCAAAATCTACCGTGGATGTGAGAGTGATGCTCTTTCTCGGTGTTGCCCTAATTTTTTAGCATAAGTTGTTTACTGTACTATTATGCAGAAAAAAATGTTTGCTTTTATTGTTTCATCTAGAGCCGGTTTGGAAAGCCATATAGGAATCATCAAATTGCGTGTAATCCAATTTTGAAGGGAGGTGAGAATTGTTAGTAATTAAAGGTGTGTTTGGTACGAAGCAAAATATTTTTCGAAAAATATTTTCTAATTTTCTCATATTGATTGGCTTAAATATTTTGGAAAATATTTTTCTTAGGGAAAACATTTTCCAAAGCTCCTTCTCAACCTTCCCCACCCTCACCAACCCACCCTACCCGCTCTCCAAAAAAGTTTTTTTTTTTTTAAATTTCAGTTTTTCCGTTACCACCCACCCTACTACCCCTCCAGTCCCCCTCCCCTTCCCTCCCCTCCCCCCGGCGCGCGCACAAAAAAAAAATTTGTAATTTAAATTTCTGTTTTATTTTACTGCCCCCAGCAGCCCCCCCCCCCCCCCGAAAAAAAATTTTAAATATATTTTTCAGCTTTAATTTTATTATTTATCGGTTTAAAGGCTCAAAATTTTACAAGTTTCAAAATTATGAGTTCGGAGGTTTATGTGTTTGGAAGGTTACGGATTTATAAATTATAAAGTTTACGGGTTCGAAATTCCGCGGTTTTGAAAGTTTAGCGGTTCGAAAGTTTATGAAATTTGTTGGTCCGGAAGGTTGATGGTTTGAAAGTTTATGGCTTCATGTTTATTATATCTAAATTATTTATGAATACTCTTGAGAAGTCATTTTCCTTAATTTGTGTACCAAACACCGGAAAATGATTAAGATTACTACTTGTTTTCCAAAAAAATATTTTCTTGGAAAACATTTCCACGGAAAACATTTTCCGTTATACCAAACACACTCTAAATATGTAATTATAATATTATTTTTTAGTTTCTTTCCTTTTTATTTTAATTTTAATGTATTTTCTTTATAACCTTTTATTTCTATTTTTTAATTTTATTTTTACTTTTTAATTTCTTTGAAATTTTGAAATATATTTTCTTGTACATTATTTATCTTTTATTTCTCTACCTTTATTTTTCGTAATGTTATTTCTCATATTTTATTTATTATTTATTTTATTATTCAATTTTTGAAATTATACCTCATAATATTAGAAATAATGGGTCATTAACAAACTTGGCACATTATGAATCATGCAATTAAAGTGAAATTTCGTTGTTGAATGTGGTTATAAACTTATTATGTTTCCTAATAATTACACCAAATTCAATTACCTGGTGGCTTTTCAAACAAGCCCTAAAATTGATTGTATTGTATTGTTAAATCCATTGTTCCGGAATAATGAAAAGTCCCATTTTCTAAAATAACTGATTTTGTGTGGTGGGATTGTTTCCTATTTTTATTTCCAATTATGCCATAACTTGTTACTCCATAATTTTTTTTTTCATTCAGAAAGCAAGATTCATTCATCAAACAATGTCAAAGAATTTACACAAGCATACCATTCTATCCTATTACTAATTTTGTCACCATTTTCGGTGGAAGGATAAGCCTAGAGAAGTTAACTTTTCAGATTATCTTCCCTATACAACCATATTATCATATCTATGATTTAATGACCCCAAAGCTTATTACTCCATAATTCTATTTTATTCTTTACCCTGTTTTTTTTTAACTCCAAATCTCCAACCTATAACCTACTTTGTAGTCGTCCCTTTTTATCCAGAACTTCTGCCGCTTCCAACTATAACGTCAAAGGTGTTTTGCCTTCTTTTGTTTCATTTTTCTCCTAATTTAATTTTATCTCCAATTCTAATTATCTTTGTTCTGTCAATTCTCGTACCTTTCTTTATCATAGTTCTTTAACATTTTATTTTTTGTTTTATTATTATTGTGATCTAGTTAAGAATGGAGTGTACTTATTATTGTTTTTAATAATATTAACTTTTTCCACTGATTTTATTAGAATATGCATGAATTTAATTGCTTAATCTATTTATGAGACATATCTAGTGATAAATTAGTAGAAAGAGATTCTCTTAAATTGTTTTTATGCGTAATTCTTGAAAAATTTAATATTTAAACAATTGAGGGTATTTTAGTACTTATCAGTTACAGTACAGTACGTAACAGTCAAATCAAACGGCCAAATATTATTTAACAACAGTAAACAATACAATATATCCAAACGTTGTATTTATAAAAACGAAACGATACGATACAGTACAACACAATATATTATAAAACGATGGGTAACAATGATCCAAACAGAGTGTTACATTGTCTATTTTTCAGCACTTCCACTACTTTCACCCATGTAAATAACCTCCCACTATAGTGATCACTATTATGATTGTAACTTCACAACTCAATTATTAATATCATGTTTAAGACAATCATTTTGTAATAGTATAAATAGAGGCATGAAATGTAATACTGGATACACTTGAACACTTGATGAAATAAGAAAGTTATATGTTTTCTCTTATTCTATTACTTATCTTATTGTTTTATATTATTACTTTGAGCTACATTTCTTAATACGTTATCAGCACAAAGTTGAGCTCTTTTCGTTGTTCAGGTATATTTGTTCATTATGTTTTCTTCGTTGTATATTTTGATTTCATGATTAGTGTCTTTAATATGCAACTTTATAATTTCTCACATCTCCGGACATGTGTAAAAGTAAAGAATTCTATGTTTCTTTATTTTAAGTTATTTGCATGATTGTCACGTGAAAGTTGTTAATTTTCATGTTAATAGAATTTATTGAGAGAAGAATACTTGTTTTATGTTGTTCGAAATTTGAATTTGTGTTAAAGTTAGAAGACATTTTTGTTCTAGTTAAAATTAAAGATATACTAATAATTTTTTTAAAAAATAGTAATCTTTTCTATGAATTTATTACTTTAGTGTATATAGATCACAAATTTGATATTATGTCAATCTTTTCTTTACACTAGTATCCTAAGTATTTCTAATTATTTATCTTTTTTGATAGTTTTCACTATGTCGAATTTGTCAAAGCTTGAATTTGTGGCACTTGACATTTCTGGAAGAATTACCTATCATAGGTTCTCGATGCTGAGATTCACTTGGACACTAAAAGCCTTGGTGACACCATTACTCAGGGTAATGAGGAATCAAGCCAGAAGAAAATGAAGGCCATGATTTTCCTTCGTCATCATTTGGATGAAGGTTTGAAGGTTGAATATTTGACAGTGAAAGATCCACTTGAATTGTGGACTGGCCTGAAGGAAAGGTATGATCACCTTACGGCTATGGTATTGTCAAGGGCTCGATATAAGTGGATGCACTTACGATTGCAAGATTTTAAGACCATAAGTGAGTATAACTCCATTGTATTTCGAATAACTTCCCAACTAAAATTATTTAGGGATGTTATGAATGATGAGGATTTGTTGGAAAAGACTCTTACGACTTTTCATGCCTCAAATATGGTATTACAGGAGCAATAGCGTGAAAGAGGTTTTAAAAAGTATTCTGAATTGATCTCATGCCTTATGGTGGCTGAGCAACATAATACCCTTTTGCTGAAAAATTATGATGCCCGTCCCCACAGGGTCAGCTCCGATTCACGAAGCGAATATGGTAGCAAGACGTGACAAGTCTAGAAAAAAACAGAATAATTATTATGGCCATATAAATATACGTGGTCATGGAAATGGCAAGAAACAATATAACAATCGTAATCGTGGTGGTCATGGCAAAGGAGATTACAATATGGGTTCTCAAAATAATCCTTGAAGAGGCAAAAGTGGCAACTGCCACAGTTGTGACATGAAAGGTCCCAAAAAAATTGAATGTCGTGCACCTGAGTATTTTGTCAGGCTTTATCAAAATTCCATCAAAAGAAAGGCAAATAATGTTGGAGCATCTTTTGCTAATGCCCCGGTAAAGTCTCACTTGACCTTCAAAAATGATTTTGAGACAGGACCTTCAAACAAAAATAATGATAATGCCGAGGCAAATCTTGATTTGAATGATGATGATTTTAAATGCCTCGATTATCTTACTCATTTGGAAGTTGAAGACTTTTTTGGGGATCAAAACTAAAGTTTGATCATTTTACTGGGGAATGCAATTATGTTGTTATTTTTTTTTAGTATTTTCTTGTCTCGTTCTAAAGTTGTTTTTATTTTCAAGTAGTACTTAAGTTTTCTTATGTTGTTGTTGGTGTTATTAGTTTTTAAGCATTTCCCATGGTGTACTTTTATTTTTTATGAAGAAAATAAAAATTTTCAGTCTTCAGTTGGATCCAGGATGAGTAATGAAGATTTATGCCTTTTGGATAGTGATACAACTCACACAATATTAAAAGAAAAGAAATTTTTCTCTTATTTGGTTATGAAAAAGGCATACGTTAATATAATATCCGGTAGTACAAAATTAATTGAGAGCTCTGAAAGAGCGGCCTTATTACTACCTAGTGGAACGATATTGACTATTAATAATGCATTGTATTGTAGTAAGTCAAATGAATTTGTTGAGTTTCAAAGCTATTCGCCAAAATGGCTACCATGTTGAGACCTCTAGCGAAGGAAATGTTGAATACCTTTATATTACTACAATAAAAGTGGGAAAAAATGTGTGCATGAAAAATTACCCGCATTTTCTTATGGGTTATACCACACAAACATTGGTGTGGTTGAATCACATGCCATAGTAAACAAACGGTTTACTACAATAATTTTATCATTTGGCATGACCGGTTGGGCTATCCCGGTTCTAACATGATGCGCAGAATAATAGAGAATTCAAATGGGCACACATTGAAGAACAAGAAGATTCTTCAATTTAAAGAATTCTCTTGCACTGCTTGTTCTCAAAAAAAATTAGTTATTAAACCATCAGCAACTAAAGTTGGGATTAAATCCCCTGCATTTCTGGAACATATACAGGTAATATTTGTGGGCGTATACACCGTCCATGTGGACCCTTCAAGTATTTTATGGTCTTGATAGACGCATCTACAAGATGGTCACATGTGTGCTTATTGTCAACT